GACCCCTATTCTCCGTAAAATAGCACCCTTTCTCAGAGAACAGGAGTCACTACAGAATCCTAGAAAACTTCTGAGCAAGGTTCATAGCTAAAGTAGTAAAGTATAGTAGTAAGATAAAGATAAAAAGCAAAAGCTTACTTTATGTGGCACTGATAGACTTGAACTAGGCTATCTTTATGTGTTACATGTTCTCTGGAGGGGCTGCTGTGGCCTTCTCTAGACCATGATTTTAAATCACCACTGACCCTGTTTCTGTCCCCTCTCCTAAGTTTACTTTTCCAGCAGTTATTTGCCTTCTTATGTCTCCAATACTTGAATTTCTTTTTATGGCTGGACTCCTCCATGGAACTGCCCGCACCTGCACTGCCAGTTTAGCCTCCACCATTTCCATAAAAACCAGATTCGCTGCATTTCAACTCTACTTTTCAAAGAGATTTTGCAAATCAACAAATATCCCTATCAAATACATTTTCTCACTGGGTCCATTTTTTATTTTGGGATCATCTGAGCTATGACCATAAAGTCTAACCTAACTAAACCTTTCATTAAAAACAAAATGAGGGAAACACATGCTCAACCTTAGAAATTCTTTCAGAGTTTATGTTCAAATAAAAGGTTTAACAGTCGAAAGACAAAAAGACATAGCCCAAAGGGATGCCAGGCCTCCCATCCAACAATAAATAAAATTTAAAAAGTATAGAAAAGGAATGGAACCTATCTTTTCCCCATCTGAGTTTTGGTGAAAGCAGAAAAAGAGAATTTGATGAAGGTTTTGGAAAAAAAGATCCTAGAAAAAACTAGGTAACTTCTCCTCCGCTTTCTCCCCACTTAACTGCTATGGATTGCATTTATTTTTATTTAAGCACATCTTCAATACACACACATGTATACCCCAACCCTTTAAAAAAAAAAAGGGCCTGAAATTTTAGTTACACCACATGTGGTTTTCATTTGTGAAAAATGAACAAGCTGTTTGTGGTTAAACTGTCTAATCGCCTGTTATCAATCTAGCGCTGCATTCAAGATTTACAGGATACATCAGCTTCTGTGCCACATTAGCTGCAAAGGGGGTGGGGGGGTGGGAGGGAAGAGGAGGAGGAGAGAGTTTATCCTGAGGAATAATATTTCCAGTGCAGCCACACTCACACTACATCTGGTTGTGCTGGTAGCGGCAGTTAAATTGAAATATTTCACAGCGTGTGTCAGAAACATGCAGAATGGTAATTATGACAGATCTGATTAAGCCGGAGTGCCACAAGCTCCCTGGCCAGCGCCGGTTGTGCAGGTGTGACCTTGTGCGTGCCTGCGTGTGTAAATAAAATTAATTACAAGCGAGAGGGTGAAGGCTTCAGTGACATCACAAAGCGGAGAAACTCCCAAGGGGGAGACCTAATGGAATATTTTCCCTCAGTCTAATAATACAGTTCATATTGACTTGAGGTAATTAGTGGGATCATTAAAGCAGTTTTCCCGGCGTATTTGGCTGCCTGATCAGATTAGTGAAAATGTTCTTCAGAACAAGCCCTGTGTGGTCTGCCAGAGAGGAGGAAATAAAAAGCAACAAAGCATATTTTGGAATGATAAGCAGCGCTGGACTCTTACTTTAGCGAAAAAATCTCGACTTCTCTCTGGAGCCTACCGATCTGACTGTCCTGTCCATTTTAATTCTTCTGTTCCACTCGCCTATTCCTCCACGCTTTCAGAACGGGTTCTCTCATCTCCCCTTCTCTCGGTTAAATCAGACTGCTTATCACGAGGAGCCATCCCAACTCCCCAACAAATCTCTTAAACAAGGCAATTTTAAAATCGGGGGAAAGTATCTTAAAGGACTGCGGCACTGTTAACTGACAATATGGGGCGATTGGGAAAGGCAAAAAGGAGGAAAAAAAAGGGAAAGGATTGCCACTCAAAACACACCTGCTAAACAAAAGATTCCTCTCTTCTGTGACACATGACGGAAATTTAAATATTTAGTTGCTTTCGGATCTCAGAATGGGCTTCCGTGCAGGCCAAAGTTGGGGCAAACGCTCCTCCTCTTTAACAGAACACACAGCCCTCGTCAAGAAAGGGCCATTTGTCTGAAAACACTCGATCGAGCATGCTCTACCTTGCCACTGGAATATGCCAAGCGCTGTCACAGATGGCAGGCTCTGACAGTTCCCATCCGTAGCGTTGATACTCGACAGTTCAGCACAAGATCAGTGACATTCTGTCTCATTAGAACCACGCTAATTATCACAGCTAGTTTCAGGGGAAACCATGTGTTGCAATGGTCAATTTGAAGGAGTCTGTGCATCAACAAACTGGTAATAAGGATCAGACACCTTATTATATGACAGCATGCTGCCTATGATCTGATTTACAGAATCAGAGGCACTGAGGCGGCCGAGGAGGCTGGCGGTTTATGAAACAGTGTGTTTAAACCCAATTCCTGAAGCATACTGGTTGGAGGGGGAATTGGTAAAAAAAAAAAAAAAAATACACAAAGGCAACTGGAATTGTTGAATCAAGAAATCAAAGGAGAATAGATTCTCCAAGAACATACAACAGAAGTAGATTAAGACTTAGGAAAAAGACAACTTCACCAGTGTAACAATTGCACGGTGACCCCACAAACAGTTTGGAACTTACATTTTCACAAGGTGTTTCCCATAAATTATAAATGGCTATATCCCTACTAACCTATAAAATATGTACATACATTTTTAAATGGGTGGTCCTCAATTTGTTCATTTGTCGCTTGAAAGAACTGCACGCGTGAAAGCAGAGCAACCGCACTCCTCACCATGAATCATCTCAAGGTACTTTTAAAGATACTGAGTATTCCTTTTGCAGGGGCAAGGAGGCACAGGAGATTCCTATTACCAGCATAAGTTCTTCCATCCCTCTCTTCATTGATGTGAAATTTTAATGTTGCAGTTTCCTCCAGAGCTATTTTTCTATTGTCATTTTGCATAAATGCATTTTCATAGCTCATTCATTTCACACGGCCTTTATTTTCATTCCTCATATGAGGAAAAAAGAAGATAAAGCTAAAATAAAATCCACCTTTACTATCAAAAACATAAAAGACAACTGTTGAGACTTCTGAGAAAACACTTTGTTTTCTAGCCTGGTCGTTTGTTAGAGGATTATATCAGTGATAGAGCTCTGTGCGAAATCTAACTGAATGACATGCAGTTTGAAGATTAATTCTTATTGAGAGTTAAACCTCAATGATTTGCTGCCTTCCCCACACCACTGTGTACACACCAGATTCTGCCTGAACAACTCTTCAACTGTCACAGCTGGTTGTAGAAGGGCTTCCAAAAAGAGGAACTACCCCCAAATATTCTTAGTCCACACTTCACCTTCAACTATCAATTTAGGATAAAAGATGACCTTCTAAAGCAGAGTCTACAAATCCACAGTTGTGTGCCCAGGCCGCAGGATACAGACACCAAACTGCTTAAAAGCCACCCTCTCCTGGTGGCCTCTGTGGGTACCCTCACGGGGGCGGGGGGGGGGGGCCTTTTCGGAGGTGGCCTGATATTCACAAATTGAGTCTTTTCAAATCCTGTCTAAAATTTTCTTACAATGTTTTCTAAAGATGGAAAAACTGGACTTTTAGTTATGAACACATTTCTAACAGTTGACTTACTAAGTGGGTTAATGAGGAAAATGTATTTAGAGGACTTAAGTTAATGAATTTTAAATTCAGAGGGAAAAGAGTAAATTTTTTAAATGATTTAAAAGTGGCAATAAGATAACTGAAAATCTTGTATCTAACTTGTTAAAATAGGTAACAGTTAAGTGTTCTGGGGGGAAAACACCCCTTTAATGTTTTTGAGGCAAAAACATAACAGGCAACTAAGTGTTCTACGTAATAATTCTATATTAAACACTGGGTTTATAAAAACATATTTGATTTTTATAATATGGTAATGTGAAAAGAGCTCACACTCAGATCCATAAATTTAACTAGCCCTTAAAGCATCATGTAACACACAATCACAGACCTTTTACACTGCTTATCTATTTAAAACCATTCAACAGCCCTGTCTATCAATCAACTAGAAATACAAAGTCAGGTCTACATTTTAAAAAACTTAAATCCAACACGCATCCCCAAGATGTAGGCAGAAGAGATTCTTAGTGGTGGCTACCAGCCAACAGCAACTTAAAAAGGAGACCAATGGACTCCACATCCTTCCTGCTCAAGAAGGCAGACAAGGGCCTGCAAAAATGTGTGTTCAACGGGATGCTGCAGACGCTGTGAAGCTCCACTCTGGTGGCCATACACTACTCCTTCCTCTCCCCAAATTTCCTCTTGTCCTTACTCTTCCCCGACCCAGGGAAATCTAAGCTCCCCCACCCCAGGGTCTCTTCTACCCAGTCAAAAATTAAATAAATAAATGAATAACTACACTAACTAGATGGAAAATGAACAGAGACAGTCCTCAGATTGTGGCTGGAGGACACTCTGTTTGGCCAAGAGGAGGGGCTGTGAGGACACATAGGGAGGACCTTGCCACGGACAGCTGGAGAAGGAAGTGGCACCAGAGGTAAGAGAAACCATGAGTCTCAGATCTGCAGGGGCCGGGGAGGCGATACAGGTGAAATCCTGTTGCAGCAAAGACCATAACATGAACATTCCAAAGGAATGAATCAGCACAGGACTCCAAAGTATACTTTCCGTGAAGTGTAATTTAATTCTAACAAAATAAAAGATGCCTTCACAAACATGCCAGAATACAGAATGCAGTCAGGGCTCTAGGACTTGGTTTTTCCCCACTCTGCGTTTTGTCTAAGATTCTCTTCCCAGCAATGAGAAATTTAGCCCAATTTCTAAACCCATTCATTTGTGACCCATCAAGTCTGAGATATTTAAGACATACCAATCACCATCAAAAATTCTCCAAACCTGAAGTTAAAAGGATACTTTTTTTTCCCCACCTATGGACCTCAGCTGCGTCAAAGTTTTTTCTTCCCTTTCTTCTACCCTCCATCTCTCATCCTAGAAACCTTCAATCTCAACGGCAAATGAGTCTGGAAAGTAGGTGGAAGTCTTGAAATTACTTGGTTTCTTCTATGTCTGGTGCTCTCCTCACAAAGACAGAAACCCTCTCTTTCTGGCATTAAAAACCAAACCTATCAACCAGCCAAAGGCACAGCAGCCAAAGTTCTGTAACTCCACACGACTGGTGAGTAGTAGAGATTATACTGGTAGCATGGTAGGTCAAACATGTTTTTCCTTTCTCTCATTGCTTTACTTGAAAGAAATACCCTGTTCAATAAAGCACTAAAGAGAAATCACCTCTGAACACAAGTGGGGATGCAGTGTGCACGGCACAAGACCTCAACTCCTGCTGCATTATCGCCTCTGCAGCTCCATCTCCGCAAACATGAAAATCAATGTAACAATTCGATGTTCAAGGCAAGGCCTACAGCGCTGCTAATGTCCCCTTGCTGGACATACACCTTAAGTCTCAGAGCTCCCAAGGGGTTTGCTGTGGAATAAAATTAGATTCCGACATCTGCCACCATTAAGGAAAAAATTCCATTTCCATCTCCCGTATGAAAACACTATAACCAATGAACAGTAACTGAACCTTGATACCGTAATGGTTATTACCCAAATCAACTATTTTTTTTAAACAGTAAAATTAGCGAATTCTGCTCTCATAATTATTTGAATGTTATCAGACTAAATGTTTGATAAAATTCCAATATGATTCACTTGGAAAAACTGCTGCTTATTTGAATACTCAGAATATAAAGTGTATTCATTTGTAGCTATTCACATTATGTTTAAAGCATATCATCTTTTTAAAGTTTGCATTAGTCTGCTTTCCTACCCAAGCACAAAAAGTAGCCTACCTTTGGTTTTCACTTGCATATTTTATTCAGACATTTCTATTAGAGTTAAAAACAATCTCATTTCTATTACTCATCGAAGAGGAGAGATCATATAATACATGTGAAATGGAATCTACAGAGTTGGTTCTTTTACTGAAAATACCTTGTGCATTAGTCACTGCATAGCACAGCAACCCTGTGTCTGGTTCTATAACATTCTAGGGCTGAAGTAACTTTAAAATAATTATGCTGCCTGCCATTCAAGTCGTCTACTTAAAGCATTTCCTTCCGAAAATGAGAGGTATTTGAAACACAACACATTAAGTAAATCAGCCTGTATGGAGCCTCCTGCTTGGCACATGAAGTCATCCGTGTGTGTACAGTGCTATCTGATTAAACCTCTTCTGCAGACCTTACAGCATGCGACCTCTTCCCAAATCTCAGATTCTAAAGATGAAATCACTGCCCAATGTCAAAGCCCCCGTGACAATGCCCCAAACCACAGCCTCCTCTGAGGAACTTTGCAGCCTTCCCCACCCTCTGCCCTCACCAGGAATGAGAAAGTCCTGCTTCCACAGGTACTAGGCAGCTAAGAACCTGGGTTCCATGAATGTGTCCATTGAGACCTGAAAGTCCCCCCAGTGGACTATCAGCTAGTCCAGTGTCCCAGATTCCCCTTCCCTGGAGCTGAGCACGAGACCAGCGCTGCCTGGAACTGCAGAGACAGTGCCACAGCATGAGAGGTGCCGAGGGCTTGGGCTGGTGCTACTACTGAGCAGCGGCGTGGCCCCCCTTGTGAGATGAGGAAAACAACTCACAGGGTTACTCGGAGAAGGGCAAATACAACAGAAGGCAGGATGGGGTCTAGCACAAAAGAGGGGATGCTACGAGGCCCACCCAGAGGATCAGGGCGCAATGGAGCAGAAGCAGACGGAGCCGAAGCAGACGGAGCCGGCCGCGTGCAAGGAAGAGTGATGCTGTGATTTCCCGCTTCACACACCCTTCATGGGGGATTCTCTGCCTCATTCTGACAAGCCTTGGCGTTTATTTTCAAGGCCTAGATAATGCTTTCGACAGAATTTTGACCATAAAAAAAGGTCAGTTTGATTTTGAAGATTTTGCTCTTTGGGGTTGTTTTTTGTTTTTGCTGGTTTTTGTTTCCATCTCAAAAAACATGGCAAGAGAGCAGAACTCAACAAGGAGAGGTTTCCACTTTGGGAAAGGTTTATGTTGAAGTACTCACCAATCTTTTCATATAGTGCAAAGACCTAAACTGAACAACTCAGAGAAAAACTACTAAAAATCTACCAGCAGTTTCTGCCAGGAAGTTATGCTAAAGGAGCAGTTAGGAACAACTATCCGAGGGAAAGAAAGTTAACAGTTTGTTAGACCCCACAGCCTATAAAGGGCCCCATGGATTCGCTCTCAACCTGGCATGAGGGGATTAAGGAACAGCTTGGGGGGGTGCTGACACACAGAGCTGCCAATGGCTGCCGCTGAAGGCTGGTGGAGAGTTTTGCAGGATAGTGGTACAAAGAGCAAGGATGCTTGAAACTCCCAGACTATCATTCCCATGACATTATTCACCAATTAATGACGCCATCTGTATCCCAAAATCACTCACTCAGCCATGGTGGGAGAACTAGGGATCAGAATTAAAAGAAAGAATGAGGCCAAAGGCAGAAGGGGGCTGCTAACCCTAAGGCGCTATGCTGTTGTCAGAAAGGGAATGGGGAGACTGAGAGAAGGGGGGGTTGACTTAAGTGTCAGATGACAAGCAACTAAATGACAGCGTCAAGTTTTCATAGTTATTTTGTTTGCTTTAATGACCATTAATACAGGTGTAGTTTCTCTGTTTAACTATTGTGGAGATTTGGGGAAAGTGTCTGGCCCTTGTAAGAATATAATCTGTTATAATTTAATTGGACAGGTCAGAGAAGGTACAGGATCAGAAAGAAAGGCGAGAGAATATGTGTTTAAATATGAGTTCCTCACCCTAATTAGATGAAATAGCCAAAACAAGAATGTGCAGGGCAGGTGGGGGAGGGGTAAAGTGAGAACAGGACATTTCTCCTTAATGCATAGTCTTGGCATGTAAATGAAGACATCTGAAGAAGCACACAGGTTTGAAGCGGCTCGAACATTCTATCATAATTAGAAACATTTCAAGAGCCCTGTAATTTCCAATCAAAATTACAGTAATTTCCGATATACAAGCCATGATTCATGACAGAATTTTACATTCCATGAGAGATTACAGTGGCCTGATGTATGACACGCTGAGTACAGCACTAACATAAACAATTCAGTTTAATGTTTAAACAGCACTTGATGTTTAGAATCTCACAATAAAAGAAACATATTATTGTAGAAATTATCACTTTGACAGTGATTGAAGGGTAGGCAGGCATGTGGCCTATAAAGCTATAATTTTTACAGTCCACAGCTTGAGTTTAATCATTTTGATATAACATTTCCAAGATATCCCTTAAGTATTTCATCCAGCCTATAACTTAAACAAGAACAACCTTTTCTAAAGAAAAACTCCCATCAAGTACCACTACTAATGTTAATAGAGTAAAATTTTAGGAAAATCTAACAAAAATGTGTTGTATTGTAAATATTTGAGGTTGAATTTTTTTACTAGACACCAGAGGAGGATTCATTAATGACAATGAAAATATATTTGTTAAAAATTTCAAGTCAAGTCGTTAAAATCTTACCTGTGTCCTTGATTGCCTCTTAATCTCACATGGACAATGTTATCAAATCACTTTAGCAAAGAAGACAGTTTTGTATTCTGGTGTTTTAAAAAGCAGCACAAGGCTTTATAGATATTTCTGAGTTTTTCATATAGAGGACCCCTACTTTTGATGAGCATAAATTACCAATATATGACAGTCATACTTATAAAAGTCTGCCTCATCTATCCTTTATTATGTTTTCATCTTGTTTTGTGGGAATTTATAACTTTTCCAGTTCGATTCATCTGTAATTCACCAGACGTGGGCAATTTTTCGAACTGTAATTCAATTTGTGTAATACATTTAAATGAACATCATTAGTATACAAAGATACAGGTACAACAGTTTGTTTTAATAAGTGCACCGAATAGCTGCAGCTGCCTGAGTTAGAACAGAAGACACTGCTGCCTGTGTATTTTAGACTGGGAATCAAGGTCATCTAATAGTAATTCAAGTTATTTGCTCCACTGCAATAGATCAGACTGAGAAACTTCCTATATATTATGACAATCTTCTGAAACAACTATAAACTGACTCAGCAATTGACTGAAAAATCCTTGATCTGGAGCCCACACAGGTGTTTGACAAAACAAAACTGCTACCTGAATCTGAACATTCTATTTCATCACAGGGCTCTGTAAATAATCCTGGAGATTGTGACCTCTCCGTGATGCGAGTTCATGTTGAAAATAGATACCCCTTCTAATGAAATTTTCATAGGATCGCAGATAATCATTCTCAGTGTCTAATAGAGGCTCTTACCTGGCTTTTGGTTGCCGCAACCTTTGCAAACAGTGCTTGGGACACTTTAGCGCGCTTCATTTCCTGCTGAATCTCATCATAAATGGAAGCATTAATGTTCATCGTATTGTTCTCTGGTTTCCCATTCCTCTCAGTGGCAATAGTAGCTGTTTTCACCTACAAAACATTGTGAACATGGCTGTCATTTCTCATCGGCCAAATTGTGTTGAAGCTTCTCAGGCTCAGCATCCAAACTGGACATTGTTGCTCCTTTTATGATCAAGGTGACCAACAGCACAGTCATTCCACGTGAGTTATTACCCCGAGATCAGATTGCTCGACTTAAGGAAGTCACATTGTCACAGGTGACTGCCTCTATAATATGACAGCAACTGCCAGCTGACAACCAGGAATTATAACGCCATAAAGTAAGTTTTCTGGAAAAAAGAATAGTTTTAAAGACTTGAAAACCCTAACCTAATTGTTTCCCAATTACCTTCCATTGCAATTCTAACAAAGGAAATTCACAATTAAAATCATAATGCATGGTGCTGAATCTTCCTGGGTGCCCGGTGCCTAATAGACAATTGCATCACTAATAGCTATTACATACTATGGCCTTTTTAATTTTAGACTTTTTTTAATGCCTTTTCCTCTTATGTTTCATTTTTAAAATCTTCCATAACAAAGCCATTTGCAGAGCTGCATATTTAAATCTTCTATCCATCCATGAAACAGGTACAGTGCCTTGCTTAATTATCATAAAGGCTGGTTGCATTTTACACGTGCATGTCCAAGCTGTTCTGTATAATTATTTCATCTTTTCCTGGCACCCCTGTATATAACTATTTCCTTTTGACTTGTGGAACCAGACAGTAAGAAAATGGTTCACAATATTTAACAGAATATCACTGTGACACTGAACGTATAGTCAGTGACTTTACAGATATATCCACACTATGTGACATTGAATCAAAAATTAGTAATAATGCCTTTGGTAAATAATGATAAACAGGGAGCAGCAGGAAAATGCCACAGAATTTTAGGGATAAAAATACAACCTCAAACTCAAGATTTACTGATAATATTATTAATCTTGAAAATCCCAAATTTAATTTTTATTATGCAATTACATGAACTAATCTGGAAAATGTACATGTGAACTATACAGTTGTGGTTTTTTTTTTTTTTTGAACTAGGAAATAGGTGAAATATAAATGGAAAGTTATCCAAGATGCAGGACCATGTCTTCCCAGCAAAATGATTTTAAGGACAGCATTTTTTTAGGGAACGTTATACAAGCCAGGTTTCTGTTCTCTAGTAAATTATCACTTTGAATAACTTCTCACATATACTACAAACAAAAGAGAATAATACACACTCTGGGATAAGTGAAGGATTTTGGGGGGTCACTAAATGATAATATACCCTCCTAGCCACACTGCAAGTCACTCAGATTCATTACACCCTGCTCCCAAATATTCTGTATCAAAAATGGGGCAGCAGTTATCTTAACTCATTCAACTCTCCGCTCTTTGAGAGCAAATGAGCCCCTTGTATAGCTTACCTTCAGAACCCCAACTTCTAGCCACTTGGCAAAAACAACACCTGCTTATTTTGGGAAGGCAGCGAGAGTCTCCTGCCTTGACATCACCCTCTAACCCCTGAAAGGACAATGTAAAATGACTGGACCACAGGCCTCAAGTGAGGACAAGAAGGTAAGCTAGGACAAGGGACCAATTAGCTGGGTTCCCTAAACTGGGAGCTGGAGCTTGGAATGTGGGAGTGCAGCAGACATCCTCTCTGTATGCAAGGGCACTCACAGAGGTACATTAAGGACTGAAGGCCACGAAGAATGTGCACAGGGCTTTGAAGCAATAATCTGCTAAACACTGCTTTAGGAGCCAGAAGAGTTAACGCATTACCATAAATTGCCTACAAAGTTGCTTTGGTGAGATTCACAACTTTGCTCTGGGGTGGTCTTGCTTTGAGGCAGAAGGATAGATTTGATCACCCCATGGGGTCCCTTTTAATACCTATTTTTCTCACTGCTTAAATGAAAGAGAAAAGAAAAGCCATTTCAAGCACTTTGAAAATTGAATGTTATGGAAATGGAAGCACGAAGTCCAGGGCACTGGAAGTAGTTCTTTGGTCGCTAACTGCTTAGCCATAGTTAGGAGAGCAGGCTTTGGAAACTTGGGATTTTGATATGTTTTAAAAATAATTTCATCCTTTTGTAAAAATTTTAAGAATGTATCTTTGAGGTGGGCTGTAATCATTTGTTTCAACCCTGTGATCTTGTTTTCCAAAAATTTCCTTGGTATAATTTTTTCTAATAAAGCAATTACAACTTGAACAAAAAAGCAAGAATTTAAAAATGAAAAAAAAAACATCAAATATCACTTCCTACTAGCCAACACAATCAAAGCAGGGTGGGGTTAGAATAAGTACAGACATTAAAAAGAAAAGAAAGGGGAAGCAAATTTTTAAAATATCAAGTAAGAAACTGTATTACTCCTTTAAAAAATCTTTGAAAAGCTCTTCTTTATCATCTTGTTGGCTGGGATGTGCATCTTCTCATAGATAAGCTATTAGAATACTGGAATCACATTTTTTCCTAAAGACAAGCGATCGCTTAAGGGGAACTGACTTGGACAGCTTTTCAAAAATATGAAAGCTGAATTTTTCCCCAGGTAAAAATGGAAACAAAAATCTTTTATACCTCACTCTACTAAGTACTATTTTAGCTTAGTACAAAAAAAATCTTCTTTAATCCTGGTTTAGCTTTTAATATTATATCACACATTAAAATTCATAAAGTAGTTCATTCCAGGCAAAACAAACTACACTTCAGCTCTTCTCCACAAATAGCACAGGAGGTAAAATAAATGCAGTTGCTTTCTGAATAGCTTTTATCAAGGTAGGGTGTACTACTCCATCATTACGGCGGCGCCGGGAAGTAGTTAAGAATTGGAGCTTCTACTATTTACCCTCAGATGGGGGCTCGGGTTCAGCAGTAAGGTCTGCTTTTTATTTCACTAAAACTGAGCAATGGAACAGAAATTTTCCATGAAATTTCTATTTTGCTTGATCATGGTGTTACTATGGATTTGGCTTTAGGACATCCTTTTTCCCCTAACAATGGGTTGTTGAGTGCATTAATGCATCCCACCAAATGCTCAATATTCTCTACAGATGCTGCACACTACAGACAGGCTCCACAAAATGAATTCTGCTGTGTTCCCGATTGGTGAAGGTGCCATTCCTTGAGGCAGGGGCAACTGAGTGCCAGTCAAACTGCAGGCACATGCGAGTGTATGCACATCCACAACTAAAGTGTGATGTAGTTTTAATAATAATTATAATAATAAAGGCTGACATTTACTAGGTGTTTATGATGTGTTGGGCATCCTGTTAATGTACATTAACTCTAACCTGCTCCACAGCCCTGACCAGGGACGGTTATTGCCCCATTTTCAAATTGAGAAAACACTCAAAACAAATAGGTTAAATAATTTGTCCATGGGGCAAGCCTGAGATCTGAAAGAAAGTCCCTATGGTCTTAATATTGACCTTAGAAAACTGAGGTCATGATTCTGCATGGGCCTTTTTCATTAGGAAATATTCTTATTTTTTTAAGACATGCTGGGCTTGCTTTTTTGGTGGTCCTTTCCTAAATCTAGTCCCATTAATGTCTAATTTTTAGTAGCAAATGGTTTTGTCATTAATTTTACAAATCCACCCTGAATCTATTTTTCAAAATATACAAACTATAAATATTTTGTTAGAAATTGTAAGTAAGCAATGTGCTACACTGAGGCATTTTTACCAGTGATGGAAATAGTCCCCATGCTCAAATCTTCCTGTATTAACACTGTCTTGAGTGTCATGATGCTATCTTGATGCTTTCCTCCCTTTTGAAGGAACAATATTGTTTTCCAAATCTGGACTTTTTAAAAGTCCTCAAGCTTTTTAAAGATGACTATTAATGTGAGGCATCTTATAAGCGCCTCTAAGCAAGATTGCTTAAAATAATGCTCATAAAAGGATCCATAACGAATAGAACTTTGATCAAGTGCTAAGTTCTTGCCCATCACTGACCTTACATTTCATTATCTCACAGAAGAATCTGCTCTAAGAATTTGCTGTATAGCTCCAGATAAAATTAATTATACATTGCTTCTATGAACATCATACATTTTCTAAAGCATTGCTATAAAATATCGCGCCTTACTTTAGAAGAAACCAAAGATCTACATAAAGGAATGTTGAAAAATTGAGAAAAGTTAGTAAAATTCATATAAAAGTTATAACTTGATCATTATAAGCCTTCAATCTTTATGAAAATAGAAACTGCTAATTTAACTCCAAAAGTCACACATTTTAACACACACAAAATCAGAATAAGCATGTGCCTAAAGTAGAAATCATTACTAAAAACTGATCTGACTTATGGAACAGAAAATTGCCAGAAAATAACCATTAATTATTACCAATAAAATTCCTCTTAGAGGCTTATTTGGAAATGTTGCTAAGCATAGTTAAGAAGAGACCAAGAGGCCAAGGAGCTTTGTGGGGATTAGGTTCTTAGATACTTTTCATCTGACTAAAGTTTACATGAGGTTATTTTCTCCACAATCTCAGAAATGCCAATTGTCCAAAGTCTTTCAATGCAGATCTTTCGTCAAACATTTAATGTGTCCTATCAGAACATTCTCATGTGTTCCTCTTCCTAATCTGACACTAATACGTTCCATTTTCTGTGATAAACACAGAGAGTTGTGTTTCATTTTCCCCTTTTTAAAATATTTTGTTTGTGTTTTGAGGACAGAGATGAGGGAAAAGCAAGAGATTTAGGGGGGTGTTTGAAGACTGACTAAATCTTAAATGTGGTGTTCTCAATTTTCTTTTACGAAAAAGGTTGGTATTAGGATTCAGTGAATTAATGGACATGAACGTGCTTAGAAAACTGTGAACCATTATCTGCAAAGCATTCTTTATCCCTTACATTAGAGCATGTTAAGTTGTGGAAATACGCTCTGAGCACACAAGTCCCACTCAGAGCCTACTCCCCAATCAGAAGACCAAGATCCCCTGGGGCAGTCCCTGCTCAAGCAAAGGGTAGGTCCGAAGGCATCTCATGCAGGCAGACAGGAGCATGCAGATCGGAGGCTGGCAGGGGTTCTCTCCTAAGGACAGCTGGGGCCTGACAAAACCAGGGAATTCCCTATTTGAAGATGATTTAGAATCTTGAGTCCCTCGTTCCTTCAGGTCCCAGGTCTTAGATGACCCAGGGACTTGGAAATCATCTTCCAAATGCCCTAAACTCCCCTGGAAAGGAAATGAAAGAAAACCCAGTCTCTCAGGTGCAAGTAAGATGTTCTGGGTTTCCTGTGAGCTCTTTCTATAATCTGCAGTGCTCTAGAAAGAAATCGGGCTTCAGATGTAGCTCTAGCCCAAGACCTGACTCTAAATAGATTGCAAATCTCTTCATTCTGGCAGTAATGAATGAAATGGATAGTGACTTCACGTAGATTCCTCTCTGTCGAAATATAAAATTAAAAAAGACAAAATTTTGCAGTCTATTTCTGTATCTGTGTTTCATCCTTTTTTCCTCCTTCCATTTTAGTCATCTGTAATAAGCATATTAAAACCTTACATATGGTATATTGGTTCCAGTTTAAGCTTTTGTTTTCAACCACTGCAAAATTCAACTCTATCATCTTTTTTCCAAATCTAGAGTTAAGATTTTACACTGATAATACTTTAACACTTGAAGCCTATTTCTTAAAGTTTTAGTTCATTGAATCACTGTTACTATTAAGTGGTAAAATCGGCACAGACTAGTTGTGAGCTCCTATATAATAATATTAACTAACACAGAGGGATTCTCAGTGAGGCAAATAAGATACCTTAAAGATTTACATTACAGCAGTGAAATAAAATTATATACACATATCAGATAATTATTTTGAAATTTTGTGAGATGGCCAACAATACTGCATTAATTGAAACTACTTTTTTCTTTGAATTTGACTAAGAATCCACAGTATCTATGTATTTTATATGTTCTTCATTGGCTGACTATAATTACTAATACTATCCCAGCAAAGGGCTTGGTCTTAACCCCTCTTGAGAACAAATAAATACAGCTAAGAGTGGCTCAGCCAGTTAATCAATAATTCATGCCAAAGTAAATTATATTTTCTATCCAAGCTTATTGGCATATAGTCTTTAGACATATATATATATAGGAAAGCCACCCAAGAGTATCTTAATAGTACGTGAAAAGAAGTATCAGTTAAGAATTAATGTAACTTTGGATAATGAAAAAATTTGATGTATAATAGAATCACATTTGAATAACAAATAAAAGCATTAAAATCCTGGAAAAATTAGAAAACAAAAGCTATATTAAAAAAACCAGTTGGTCAAATATTTGGAGATTAAAAGCAGCAGCAACTCACTGCTTATGTTCATATTATCTTAAGTAAGTTATTCTTTCGTTAGTATAGCAGATTGAGTGATAAGTACAGTTCTCTACCCAGAGGACTATCAGGGATGACTACAGTAGCAAAATTAACTCATGATGTGTATATTCACTCTGAACACTGCAAACTAAGTGCTAAACTGACTTCAAAGTTCAAGATTTTTTACATCACTCTCCCAAAAGTCATACATAGAGAGACAGCTCCTCATTCTTTTTAAAAAAAGTATTTCACAGAAGGCTTTACAGATCAAACTCAGCATGTGTGTGTGATGGTGGATGTGGATGGCACATGGACACCATTCTTCTTGCCAATTACAGCAATGACTTTCTTAGCGTCTGCTTCAAGACCAAATTGATTTTCATTATATCAAATGGAGAAAATGAACTGCTATGTTTTTTTAAAAAAAATCATTTCAGAACGTAACAATATGCAGATAAACACCCTGCATAAAAGTGTCTGCATATTCTATCCTTTATTTATGGATTGTCTACAGAAGTTTCATTTGGGTGTTGAATGAGCTTTTTCTATATTTCTATACTTGGAAATACATGATTTTTTTTACTATTAAGGAAAAGAAATTAACATCAAGATATAATTTCATTATGATATCATGAGAGTACTTTCAAGTTGTACTCCATGTTCATATTCAACTTTTATTCAGTTTTAATTGCCCCTTTTTAAAGAATTTTCCATGAGCCACAAATTAAATGTATAAGACAGTATGTTTGCTTGTGGCTTTTGACTCTATTATCAAACTTTTATCTAATAGCTTGTACTGAAAATTAATTTCTTGAATTCTCCTGCGTATGAAGGAATCTTTTAAACTTGATTAAAAAGAAAAATACAATATAAACACACATCCACAAAGATGACTTTTGTCCCTCCTGAAAACAGGACAAATTTTTTGAAAATAGAAAATGTGCCCATTTCTGGGAATATGGCTCGAATTCCTTATCAGTCCCATTTAAAGCTGCCTTCAAGGATTGTATTAAACTTAATTATGAAAGATTACAAACGAGATGATGTGTAATTAGTACCAGCTGCAGTTCACATTGGAAAGCATAAATACAAATGGAATTATTTATTTATTTTTATTTATTTACGATTCAAATGGCAGTTCTAAAACTCCTAGAGCTAAAACTGACTTTATTACTTTTTTTCCTTTTGAGTTCTTTACTTAGTAATAGTGACCTATACCTCATTTAAAGAGGACTTATCACCCACAGAGAACCCCAGAAGGAAACAAGACACAGCCATTTCCTTTCCTGTATCTAATTAGTAGCTTACTGCTTTCATATTAGAATTAAAGATTTGGGACCAAACTCTAAGCAACTCCATTAATGATTTATTTTTTTCAAAATATCTATCTCCATCCATCTAAACTTTCTAATTTCTTGTTGAGATTCTCCCTCAGCCATGAAAAAACACAAAGCACACAGAAGGCAGGCAAGGTGAGGCGAGAAGGAGACTTCACCTGGGGGGGGCGGCTGGGGGGTGTGCTTATCAGAGGCGCAGGACCCATGGCCGAGGCGGCGTTCAAGCTCCGTTCCCTTTCGTCCTGGTAAATTCGATCTCTTTCGGCTTCTGGTAGCTGCAAGAAATTCTGCATAGCCCGAAGGTTTACCAGCAAAGACTGCGAGGCAGTCTTGGGGTCCTCTTCCTTTCGGAGGATTTCTGAAAGCAAGCCCTGCAGGAAAGGAAAGGCACAGGGTGAGTTCGCGCCCTGGGATCCACCCAGCCAGCAGTGATTCTTCCCTTTTCTTCTCCACTCTGTTTAGAAAATGAAGAGTCAGAAGCATTAACTCGACATAGGAATATATTAGTTACCGCTGAAGTGGTAGAGAAGAGAGCCTCAATTGTATTCTTAATTTTATTAAGCATCTGCTTTACATATAACATCAACTGAAACTGCCTAATTGGTCTCCTTCCTTAGAGTGGCTGAACTTGCCATGAAATCTTTCCAGAGAGATGAGGGAGGGAAGTTAAGAATCAATGAAATGTTCCTAATCTAACAGCACTGAACCGTGTGGCTCACAGGCTGCCTAGACTGAGGCGGTAAATGAAAATATACAAAGCCGTATTGAAAGTAGTTAGAACTTTCAAAGAAAAGACGAGAAAATGAATTGCAACATATGAGAAAAAAGAACATCAATAAAGCATCATCTATGGTTAATGCCATGCTCAGAGGCAATATTTTAAATTATTCCTAAATTTTCAAATATTTATAGTCAGTGACACCAAGTGACCTTTTTCACTTATCAACTAAGAAAACTGTACTGAATATCCTCCCTTTGCGCCCCCCCCCCATTATTCTAAATCCAATCTTGCTCCTGGTGCACATAGAAATTTTCAACTTTAAAAACCATAGATTAAATTTGAAATATATAACTTTTTCCACATGGCAAAAATCCATCATAGCATGCCAAGCAAAGGAATACTATCAAATTCAACAATAATATTACTTGAGAAAATCTGTATTAGGAATAGAAGAAATTCATAAACCATTAGTAAAACTCTTCCCCCAAATGAGAGTTTTACTCTCAGATTGTCAACTACTTGTTTTGACTTTTGGAGGAAGAGTCTCAAAAATGGCTGGTTTGTCAAATGTTGTTTCAATGACTATACAAATTACAAACATTAGGAAAATTTTGTGACCATTTGATAGGGGCTAAATAGTCCCTGCCTCTTCAATCTTGTTCATGATTTGGAGTATCAAGACACATTCTTTTTCATCATTTAGCAAGAATGTCAGTTTATCATGATACGCTTCAGAATATAGTTTTGTCAGATTTTGATATAACTTGCAAATTTCGCTTTCGAATAAGCCTACAAAAGTGATAGTACTTTTGCGGAAAGGAAGGTGAAATGTCACGTCAAAATAACTGAGCTCCAAGGTTGTAACATTTGGGTTTTTTTCATAGTTCCCTGGAAGCGCAAACCTACTTCCCACTTTCTCACGGATAATGTACCACCTTGTCCAAATATAACAGTTGGGTTCAAATGGTATAAAAGGCACTGTCCACGTTAAAGAGATGTATATAGGCTGCTACTAAAAAGAGCCTCCAACAGACTTACAGGGTGTAAGTGTAAATTTTAGAGTCTCTCTTGATTCACTACAACAGTGCAAAATACTGAAATCAAACTTCTGGTTTCACCCTAAGACACGTGACTGAAGAATTAAAGGTTTGTTAGAACTGTTTATACAAGAGTAAAGATCTAGACAATTTAACTAAAATTCACTGAAACAGGGAGTCAATCATCCAACAATTTAATTTGCACAAGGTCAGCTAATTAGATTGACTGTTTTTGATGTGTCACATCGCAAACAAAAATACAGGTCTCAGGAAAAAAAAAACGTTTGAAACTAGTTATAAAAATTTAGTCCTTGCTCTCCACTCCTCCCCACCAAATGTTATGTATTAAAAGATGTGATGCGCACACCTCTCCTGCCGCGCCCGCTGCTCCCCTCAGCAGTGTACTTCGTCAGTCTGCCTATTCTGCTCTCCACTCTGGCTCTGGTGAATTCTCTCACCCTCCCGCACTTCTGACTGTAGCTAGTACTTGTATAAATAAATAAATAAATCTTTAAAAAAAAAAAAAAAGATGTGCTTGGCAAAGCCAACATATATTAATTATAAAAAACTAGAGAGATAGTAACATACAGTATGCATGGATGCAATGTTACACACTTCTTGTGTCCAATCATCTAACAGTCATTCGTCAACCCAACACAATGACTACCACATAAATGCTTGATTAGTATTTACGAAACAGATTAATTCTATTCCACAGACTATAGGAAAAGTCACAAAGGAAAACACTGCACAGGAGTGACAGGAACCTAAAAGCAAAATATGCAACCCACATGTAAATTCAAATAATTAGTATTAATATTCAAGATAAGTCTTCAATACAGTTTTGAGACTCACTATAAGGTATTTATTCCAATTGCTCAATAATTTAAATATATACACATATATATTAAATCAAAAGAGGTCCTATATTTAGATGCTAATGTATTTGGGAAATTTGAAATGAGTCTCATATACATCTCTCAAATAATTTATCTACTTTGCTGTTATGTTTCCAGAGACAGAAGAGAACAATAATGAGCAAAGCAAATACAAGAAAAAATACATAATAATGTACTTTAACAAGCCTTGCTAACATGCAACTAAGTGACTCCTGCATGCTTCAAGTAGAAGACAGCAGTTCACTTGGGAGAGAATTTAGAAATTTCTCCAGTGGTATTTTGAGGCCTGCACAAAGTCCCATTTGTGTATACGAAGGATATCAGGGGCAAAGCATGTTATTTCCACTTATTTATTCCAGTGGAGCCAGTGCAGCTTTTCCAAAATGTAAAAAGGTCTCAAGTGGTATTTCAAACCCTGGAACCCCTCAAGAGCTCTAAGTAGCCAGTAGAGACAGTGTTTTAGAACCTTAGGGGTTTGTGAGTGTGTGGCTTTTTTTTTTTTTTTTTTTTTTTTTTGGCCCAAGCTTTCAATGAGGGGAGTGCCCCCTGGTGGAAAGCTTGAAAATATTGTTAGAAAATGTTCTGATTAGAATGTGTTAATTACCAAAAAAAAAAAGTCATGTCATTGGAGCATAATTCTGGATGCAAAATGACTGCAGTTAGAACCCAGATATGGGAATGCATGTTTTGGTCCTGTCCCGGTGGTGATTCCTGGATTCAAGGTGTTTCTGGCCCATTTGCCATTTCCTATAGTCGAAAATACAGTTCAGACTTGCCAAGTTACTAGGTCAAGGTTATTTGTAGTAATCTCCCATGGTGGATACGAAGAGAGATTTCTCACCAAAAATTCTTCTTCCCCCTAAAAAATAATATATCAAAGGCATCATGTCCCTGACTTGCTATCTCAGAGATGTTGAAACACCAGGACTAAATTCATCAATAATGGGCAACATAGGTGTTCAATCAATTTGTTGACCAAAATTCAACAAAATATTAGTCATTCTTGGTTCTGAGAAGAAGAATCTGTATATTGTTTGGAGCAAGTTACCAGCACCTCATAAATACTAAATTTATTGGAAATGAGAAGCTGTTCTTCCTTAAGACTTTCCATCCTCAAGTACTTTTGCCATGTATTATGGAAACATTCCACATTGTTGTGATAGCGGTTAAGGGAGAGTCGTCATTTTTTCAATTAAAGTGAACTGACTGATGAATTCCTAAACCGTTTTTATATTCCAAAAAGAGTTTACAAGTCATTACAAGTAAAATTCATTAGTAATTGTAAAAGAAAGAAGAAAACCTTCAATAAATATTATCAGTACTTCCAAAAGCTAATTATGAATTCTTTAAAACAGCAGATAAGCGGAAGAGACTGCCAATTTGAACAAAAAAGCCTGTCTGGCCTCCCAGTTGCCTCCTCTTTGAACATAATCACTGATTCAAACAGATTTTATCAGCTTCATGGAACTTCAAAGCCTTCAGAAGGAAAATATGATTTGACGAAACCTTCCTCCTAAAAAGAATGCATTCTTCAAGGGTACCTGCCTCTGTGGTGTGGAGAAGTTTTAATCACATGTCCAGGTGAAAGACCATATTCAAACTCCACCTACTACCTTGGACTCATGCCAAGTAAGTTATACGCAGACACATTTATCTCTGTCGTTTGGGAGGCTAAAAGAAAGCTGTCGTGTTGAGGTAATAGCACCTTTTTAGCTTTTATTCAATAGCAATATGGATAGTGGACTTTTCTTAAATTACACTGTGAAGAATTATAGGAACACAGTAGCAATTTCTGTTATACTTAAGCAGGCAAATTTCTCTCCACCACATAATTTACAGAACTCAAATTCAATAAAACATTACATGATGGTCCATTACTGTTATCAGTTTTGAATAATCCATCTTCATTCTTTATTTTACTGGAAAATAAAATGTGCCAAAGACAAGGAGAGGTGGGGGTGAGAAAAGGGGAAAAGCCACAGAATGGGATCAGAGTTAAACTCTGGATTTGATGCTTTTTTTTTCCTAAGGCACTAAAATTTAGTTCTTCTACCACAACCTTTAAATGGAAAGAATACAGAAGTGAATTGAAAAGTGTAAATGTAGAAGCTTCGGCAATTATTTTTAGCCATTGGTTTCCATTAAAAAGACATCAAGTAGGCATAACTGAATGAATGACATATGCTAAAAGCTGATATCTTCAATAGCAATTAAGGAACATATGCCCATCAATTCAGAAGGGGGGAAAGTCCTTAAAACAAGTAATTATATAAATTTCATCATAAATTTTCAGAAAAGGTAGAATTTAAAAATAGTCATGTGTGACAGTCTTTAGAGAAGGGTTTATTTTAATTTAGGAGACCCAATTAAGACGATGGGAAAATTCTCCAAATGAGAGTTAAAACATGACATCCAAGATTTTAAAGCTTTACAGAACTGTCAATGACTAAAATATTCTCAACTCATAACAGTGTTATCTATTATATTAAGGTTTTAACATACTGTTTATAGGGCACCAGTCTTTATCTGATCATATAACTTTGCATTTATATGTACATATTTTACATTAATTTTTTTAACTTCGAGTTGGAATTGCACATTGTAATAAGTGCACACAAATGTGTGATGTGCGATTTAACTCTGCAGAGCTCCTTGTCTATACATATGCATTAGCATGTGTATTTTCGTACTCCACACTCACACCATACACTCTCACTCTGCACCTGCTTTTATTGAAATGCATACACTTTGAAATAAACACACTACATGCATTCCTATGAATGTGTAATCATTAAAATAAATGCAGCTGTGTGCGTGCGCGTGCGTGCATGTAGTTTTAAGTATGACCACCAAAAAATACATGCATGCTTGCATGTTCAAGAGCTAGTTCCCCAAAAGCAAACACCGAAATACACACAAAAAAATACTCTTATTTAAACCCACACAGTTTCCAATATGGCCCAACATCCACTTCAACTGAAAAGTACCAGTTGCCAATATGTAGGTTTAAAACCCTCCATCACCCAGGGTTCTAAATAATTTTTGGTGATAATTTTTTCTAAATTGGCTATTATTAACGGAGATCAGCAGCAAGCTTTCACTCTCCTCTCGCACTCAAAGAAATAAAGTCCCTGTTTTTCTTATGTTAACCACAGAGATGACTATCTTTTCAGACAGATCAGTATAGTGTAAAAAGAGAATTTGGCCTTTTTCCAGGAACAAGATCCTATAGATATTTGTGGGACTTGTCAATGTGAAAACCAAAGGCACAACAGTCAACTCTTCAGACCCTTCACCATAAACCAAGAGAAGAAAAACTATACTGGTGGGTGGTGACTTCACTTCTTTCCCTCCAGCTGAACCCCTTCAGGAATGAAGGGGTCATTCCACACCAGATAAAATACACTTTCCTTTTGCTTCAGAAAAATAACAATTTGTTCAATTTTTAAAACATTTATCCATTAATCTGTATGTCATCTGTGTCCATGTTAATGTTGACTTTGGGGGCATTTAATTCAATTCAACCAGCATTTTACTGAACTCTCAAGTCTATTTCTCCCCTCAGGACTGAGAACCACAAGTAGTTAGCTGTTATTTACAAGAATAAAGAATACAGCCAGACACAGGAATACCTAGAAGATTGACTTCTCATTCATTCATTTTATAAATAACCCCTGAATGAATATAGTGCCATATTAAATTAACCACAACGTAAAAGACACCCTTTTTTTAAGTTGTGCAAATACAGAACTAGGTAGAACCATACAATTTTCACTAGTCACAAAGCCTTCTGAAATCACCTTTTAAAAAAGTAGACGAATGATGTACAAAAAAAGATAAACTGAAAACAAACTGAGTTAAAGGCTTTGTCAGGTCCCCTAACTTGCAATTCAGTTAAGGCAAGCCAAGAAAAAGTCACACCTGGGATTCTCCTAGGTATGGGAACTGTGCCTACAGGGAATTAATACTAGATTATTTTTGTACCATAAGTTTATTCTTATAATCATGTAATAAACAAAGTAACTTAAATATGAAAGGAAAATATGAGTCAGGCCAAAAAATAATTGACAAAAAAGCAATGGTAAAACAAGAAAGTTGAAAGGACATAATGTCCTCATTCTAATCAAAGATATATGTCCTTTGGGATGTTTTTTATTTATTTATTTATTTATTTATTTAATATGACTGAGCTAAAAATAAACACCGTATATATTATACTAGATCCATAAAAGAAATTTAAAAAAAAAACCCATCCACAGCTTAATACAATTAATTTATTTGGGTCTCTCAAATGTCTTTATCTTCGGCCTTCTTTTATCATGTCACCCTTTCTCCTAGACCCTCTCATCATCTTCCATGCTGACATCTTTGCAGGAATTTGCCCAGAAGGACAAAGGTGTGCACCCAGAGGTGCAGGCAGATCTCCTGAAGAAGTCTGCAAACCAAAACCAAACCTTCCCTATGGCCTGTTTTGTAAATAGTTTTATTCAAACCCCACCGCCCACCGCATACCCACATCCATTCACTTATTATCAATGGCTGCTTAACACTACAATGGCCAAAGCTCCATGGCCCTCAAAGCTTAAAATATTTACTTGCTGGCCTATTATAGAAGAGGGTTGCTGATCCCTGGCTACAAAATGAGGTTAGGAGAACATTAACAATGTGAAGAAGGAGACGCCTGTGCTGGGAAACCTTTTATGTGGTGGAAGACTGTGGGCACTCTGCTGGTGGGAAAATACGGTGACCGCACCTGAGAGGAGAAATCCTATACTGTGAAAAATTAAATTAAAAAGGATTCTTAAAAAAATAAAAATTAAGTTGTAAAAGAAGAAACCTTTTATGTTAATAAGCCCTTTATTTTTTTCCCTAAATGGCTGCTCTGAATTGAGAGAAATTTCCATTGAGTCCCAAGATCTTTTTCTCTGATGTTATAAAGGAACTTAAATAGGGCATATTTATATACTCATGTTTGATAGAGATGGTAACACGGACAACCGACTAGAAGCCTGGAGCGCTACCAACAGCATGGACCAACTCAGGAAACTTTTCTCAATCTGCTCCTACTAACAGTCTGTGACTGCATTATGTAAAAGCACAGGTAATGCCAGTTTGAAGTATTTTTGATATTTAATTTATTCCTTCAAGCCCCTGAATTGGGATCCACGTATGCACTGCTTTCTCTTGTTATAAAAGAGGTAGATAAGAAAAGATGTGATAAAATTTAGGCCTCACCAGGAACAGACAATATGATCGCACGAAGAGGACAAAATACTTGTACTGAGTAAAAGAATGAACATTAGTATAGATGGGCCTGGGGAGGGAGGAGGCGGGTGAGATGTAGCCAAGGAGGGAGGGAGGGAGCATTCACAAGCAGAACAAAACTGACCTGAGTTCTGTTAAAAGCCACACGTGCAAATACTGCCTGGGAGATTCCTGCTCGTTTCAGTTCATCGCGTACCCACTGGTAGATTTCGGAAGACACCTCTGTGTTGGTTGAAACCTGTTGCTCCAAAGGCTTATTCAGAGATCTACTGACAGGGGGAGGGTGGTTCAAGTATTGTTGGTTTAAGGACTGCTGGGCTAAAAGTCTGTTCACTGCATACTGCTGGTTGAGCAGCTGAGCCATCACTAGCTGCTGGTTGACCAATTGAGGACTGATGGGCGTTGACACGAGCCCCGGGTGCAGGTTCGGAAGAGGGGTCCGGACAGAGGGCTGGCTGCCATGAGAGAGCTGCGCGGGGGACGGGGGCTGCTCGGCTGTGTTCCCTGGGACCGGCTGCTGCCCAAAGTTGACGTGGTTGGCACCTTGTTGGGACAGTTCAGAAAGACTATCCATTTCAACTGAAATGGACGAAAAATAAAATCATGTTAAGCAGAAGCAACAGGTATTGATACAAATTTCTGATCATTTCCTAAATAGTGACAGTAGGCATAAGACACATCACAGATCCCATTAAACTAAGAAGATTTCAGGGTGGAACTCAACCGGTTCATTTTTTACTTTCTTCTTCTGTATAGTTCCACAAACTCTGAAAGTGGACAACACTTCTGATCTAATTTTATAGTGTGATTGAGATTTAAAGCATAAAATCCATTGTTTTCAAGTTCTATGTGACGAGTTTTGGGGTCAAACTATCATTCACTCTCCTGTATTACTCCAAGAAGACTTAAACAATGACAATTTTAAAATAGCTTCAAGAGAATGAACCTGGCTTAATGGCAACTAGAAAGAGCGTGTTAAGACTATCATAGCCAACTAAAGAAAAAAGAAATATCATAAGGATTGTCTCACATAAGCGATTACTGCCCTAGGCAAAAGGTTTGAAAGAGCGAAAGATGCAAAACATTACCCACATTCAATTTTTACCTATCCGTGAACATAAAGTAATCAATATAATAAATAATGAAAGTGGTCACGATGATAAGTAATAATAATGGAGTGCACACTGAACATGTGCTGAGTGTCTTTAATTTTAACCATCACAGGGGCCACGTATATCTGCAAACACTTCTTAGAATGAAGGAAATGATTTATTGATTCAGAAGCCAGTATCTCCAGTCTTGTCGAGGCCCTAATGCTTCTTGAAGAAGCTAAGCTTATCACCAGATGCTAAAGACAATCTTTCAAGGAAGGGGTGGAGAGCAGTTCTGGTACAATGGTGATGCTGTCGTGATGCTGCAATTTATTACCACCTACCCCAGATGAATGCTTCCCCTTGGCTAGGTCTCCCATGTGGATTGGCTGAGAGGCAGTTCTAAGTGTGTCAAATGCTTTGCTGCTACAAGGAAAAGACTGGTTTGATACTCTTGACTGGAAAGGCTGAGCATGGTGCTGTATATAAATAGGTGATCCCCTTTCCACATAGCACACCACACCTCTCATGGACAGACTCCGGTGTGATTTTAATCATCAGTTCTCTTTTCATTAAATGTTCTGGATTTACATTTAGAGGAACTTACCCTATTGCTATAATCACTGATATGTGCAAAATATAACTAAGAATTGGGGAAGAAACCTTCCATTTCTACCAGTGATACCAGCCCAAGTGGGCCATTCACAGAGAATAGTAATTCAAGCAATTATTCCAAAAATGATGCATTGTCTTCATTACGGCGCTAAGCTATAAAAGGCAAAGAATCTGTTTTGGTAGATGGATGGTTTTTCCTGAAATATTAAAAGCTAAAAACATGCTCAAAATTCAGGTTCTCTTGTCTCTTAAAATCTTTAGGAAAAGTTATTATTGTTGTTGTTACTAAATGAATGTAATGAAAGTAAACAGAAATAGATTTAAGAGGGCATAACGCTATGCATATTAAACATCCCGTTCCTATACTACTTGAAAACGTATTATTTGGAAGGTACAAACATGTGAGAGAAAACATTAATAGAAACTGAAACATCAACCTTAACCACAGCATTTGCTTGTGTGAGCACTAACCACTGACGGGGAGAAAACACCACCCTCTAAACACACAACGGCTCTCTCTTTCTACACTGCAGATAACCTTACTGTGTTTCTTCCGAGACAAGCATTGACCTAAAGTTATATGTTAAGACAAGATGATCTACTGGAATTCGAAGTTTGGAAATGACATGATGATTTTTCTGGTAAGGACTGCTGGTCAAGCAGCTCGCTCACCCAAGGTCCACCCAGAGGACGGGGATAGGTCTAAAAATCGCTGGATCTCAACTGTGGAAACTATAAATACAATTTAATTCCCTTAAAAATTGGGTGTAAAAATAGGCACTTTCTCTCAAAATGAAAAAACATAAAAGCATAATTTATCCCTGTGAGAAATCACAGCTAATATTAGTTATTCAAGGCCTGGTTAGGTCTTCACTGAGATGTTAAGAGATGACAGCTCCCCTCCTCACGCCTCAATTTCCTGCATGTCTGACAACCAAGTCAGTTTGGCTGATTTAAACACAAACATTTATTGAATTTAATTATCTCATTATACTCATACCCACTCCCCACCCTCAAAGAAACAGTCTAAATTGATCTCTAATTGGGCAATCAAAAGACCTGGCTGAAGATGTGACTTTGATAAACCCCCAAATGACACGTAATGTTATGTAGCCACCGCTGCAACGCTGTTTTGCTTACCCATCATATCTTTTGTCTTCTTGAAATGTTTGTACCACCTTCCAAATTCTTGACATTTTGCTGCTGAGACATTTGCATAGTAAGTGCTGTTCACAATGGAAGAAATCATACTCTGCATGAAGAGGGGGGGGAAACATTTGTAATACATAGCGGCACAAGATGGAACACAGAAATGATTTCAATTGTGAAAACTAATTTTTTTAAATCAACTGAGTACCAATACATTTTTGTTTCACACTTAAGCCTACAGCCTCAACTTCTGAAAATTCATTAAGTAGATCATCAAATGCTTATTTAAGAAGAAAGCAACAGCCCACAGAGACCAGTATAAAGCTATCAAACCCACAGACTTTGCTCTAGTATTTATGGAATTTCCATCAATGTCATCTATTCCTAGGCTGACAAACTTGCACTGATCCCAATAAATCCAAGTACTTGAAGATGACTTTATGATTGCAATTCATAACAAACGCCACTCTGAAGTTTAGTGAGTACACTCTGCATCCTTGCTACTGGAAGGATGGCTCAGGGACCAGCAATATCGTCATCACCTGGAAGCTTACTAGAAGTGCAAAATCTTGGCCCTGACCCCAGACCTAGTCAATCAGCAACTGCATTTTACCAAGATCCCCGGGGATGGCATGCACATTAAAGTTTGGGATACACCCCTTGCACTTCTCACTCATATTATTTGTGTTTCAGATGAAGTGTATTAACACTGCTCCAAGGTTAACTCACAACACTTATGGAGGAAAACTATTCTAAGATATCTCTATGGAAGAAAAATACATATTGCAATCTGATTACTACCTTCACCTATAGTAAAGCTTGAGTGCTTAATTTCTCAAGGACACCACAAAAAAGAAAATGACCTATTTTGCCACCCATTTGACTTTATTCTGCTTTGAACAAAAGCCCAGAAAACAGAGTCAAAGGTTTAGCAGAAAAATTAAGAAAGACAATAATTTCGATGTATTACGAGGAACTGTGTTTTTTAAACTAATTTTCAACAAAGAAGTGTGTGTTCCTCCCAGCAAGTTTTGGTTATGATAATTTCTGTGACTTAATTCTTGATTATTTTTAACCGTAACACCCATATCCCTCTAATAGTTGCCCAATTAACTTCCAATTGAGTCAGGAAAGACGAGATTTTGCAGCACCGATCCATCCCCCACTCCTATAGTGTAGAAATATGGGAGCTAACATTTCAAATTTCAGTTGCTCAATGGTGAAATAGTTTACAGAAGGCAGCATTGTTTGGGAGGCAATGAACAACCAGAAAAGCCAGTTTGGGGACAAAAGTATTTCTATATCGTTATCTCCTTTAAGCTACTTCTAATTGAAAACTCTGTTAGCTATTGATTCCCTGACATCCTTTATCAGTGTTAATTTTGTAAAATGCACATATCCCTATAAGATGTAAATCTTAGAGATTCTTTGAAGAACTTCCCGTGAAGAATGAGCTGGAGTCACATTATTTAAGTAAAACATGGCCATCTTTCCTAAAAGGCAGTGGGATAGTTTTTTTTTTTTTTTGACACTTTCTACTGTATAGTCATTTTCACATTGTATTTCTCTGAAAAGACATGCTTAATGTGCTCTTGCTGCTCTGCCATTAATCCAGTAGCTTGCAATTTTACTAAGAGCCTCCCCCTCACACCAGAGTGCAAAAAGATACTTAGCAAGGTTGCCAAAACCAGGGCCAGAAGATTACCTGAGCCAGTTAACAATCCGTCAGCTTCAATCACACTTACTCTATTGTAATAATGGATCAATAAAGTCAGACACTAATAAAACCAGTGAGATCGCTGATGGATAATGGTGATTCTGCAAATGGATGACAGTTGATGTTCTTCCGCTTTGGCCCAATTTTCAAAAAATTATTACTCATACCTAGACATTCTGGCAGTTTCTTAAATGCTAATATAATAGTACACATAGGTTTTAAATGTCATTTATACCTTAATTTACAGAAATGTATGAAATATCTAAATTTTGCTGTGCTTTTGGATAAACACTCAGTCTACGTCAGTTGGCCATGAGTGCCATGGAGGAAATCTGTGCTTTGCTGCATGTCTACAATGTACCTGGCTGGCACTAGGAATACAAAGGCAAGTAAGACACAGCCTCTACCTGCAAGATTTTACTATATATTAGGAAGACAGATAAACAGATCATTTCAACTTAAAATGAAAAAAAAAAATATGGGGGGGGTGAATATATCATGCGTGGAAAAAAAAGTCTGAAATATTTTTATAAAACTCGAGCCCATATGTAATGGTGCTATGTAGTTCATTATTATCCATATGTGGAAAATAATATCCATATGTGCATGATCATCAAAGCTTCCCTGCCCTTATTTAACCCTAAACTGGTAGGCTCTGTCCTTACGTGACTTTCTACTCTGTCAAGTGGTGTATGCTTAGGGAACTCTGATTAATATGAATATTAGCCTAAGCAAGACATAAAAGAGTAATCTACAGGTTATGATACATACCAAAGCAGCATCTTAAGAGTTTTATTTCTGTGCTTTTGGTGGGGTGGGATGGGGTGGGGTGGGACATATTTTCTATTCAGGTAACCTGGGGTCAACTCTATTTTTATTGGAACAATATGCAGTAATCTGTACAACTAAATTGCTCATGTAGCCACTGCGTGAGGTTTTTTTCTTGTTGTCAAATCTCTACTGAAGACTCACGCATGGCATCCGAATCAACTAGAGAGTTTCAAGGGCAGGTAAGAGACATTTCAGAATCTTGTGGGACACATGGCATTTAGAAGGTCATGTTCACACTGTAATCTTAAATGTGAAAAATCATAAAGCAATACATTGCTATGACAATGCAAATAACAGAAAGTCAAGATTGGAAATATTTTCCTAAATGGGGCTATATGTGGGGGTAGACTAAGGTCCACATTTCTATGGAGGCTTGTGTTCCTTGTATGAAACAAAAGGAGACAGTGGTTTAAAAAAGGTTACACTCAGCTGTGAGTTCATACAGTCTGGGGCTACATATTATTTTTCAGCCCAAATGCCTGACACATATTAAATACATATTAAATGTTCACCTGATGAAACAGCTAGCTAAATCAGCATTCAAGTCTAAGATATCACACACTGATAGTGTGACCTCGGTCAAATTAAATGACCCCCGTCACAACTCTCCATGCTAAATGGGAGGTGAGTAGGGCTCACTTCCTGGGGTGCTTCTGAGAATCTACTCAGTCCAGCAGCTTTTCCCCACGGATTCAGCATATATTTATTGAACACCTATAGCATGGTAAAGCACTGGGCAAGCCGTTAGGAAAATGACTTGAAGAGACATCTATCTACCCTCAGAGAGGCAATAAATAAAATAATGAATGTGATGTAATTAGCACAGAGCCTGGAACACACCAAGTATGGACTGAAGAGATGTTAATTACTATGACAACCCTCTGTCTCCTCCTGGTCATTGGACTTTTATTATATGATCACATTTCAGGACAGTCAAAAAAGCTGTGTCTTAAATCACAGATGAGAGCATCAGGAAGAATTTTCAGATGACATGATTTAAGTCAAATTTTCCTACGAACAGTGTGTACCAATTAAGGCACATAACTACAGGTCAGCTCAAGGGATGGTAAGGGAGAACGGGAGTATTTACATTTGTTTCAATATTTCAATTTGATGTCGCGTCTCCTAACGCTGGCCTGTACCTGCTCTCTGACATCAGAAGACAAGGCACTTCCTGGACTTGAGGTTCGACTCACACCTTCTCCCCTCTCCAGCTAACAGCTGCTCCTCCTTCAGTATACATTTGAGGTATCTCTGCTTCTCCAAGGTTTCTCCTGACTTCCCAAACATGCTGCACACAGCAGGACTAAAGCACCTGTCACACTGTTTATTTTCTACTAGACCGCAAGCCTTAGTCATCTCTATATAACCTGACTTATCACAGGGCTGGATGCATACTAGGTGATCAGTGAAAGGTCACAGAGTGAGCCATCACTCCAGGCAACTAGAAAATCCTCTTTTTTTCCCTTATGGGTCAAAGGTAGTGGCAGCTCCATTATCATGTGAATCTTAAATCCATCACTTTTAGCTGTCACTATAGAACTCCTATTCTGAAGAACCTTTGTTCATTAATTTGCAAGAGATCTCTTCCCAGGTTTTTCAAATACATCCACACAGATGTCTCGGAAGTCGCAGAGCTGGTTATGTTATTCCAGTTCTCTCGCAGTGTCTATTTATACAAGCTCTCGAAAGCACTTTGAAAAAGACACAACTTACATGGCAAGTTTTCCTATTCAGTGGCCAGTCTGTGTAAAACATCCGTGTTCAGGGAATAAAATAATCGGGCTGACAACACTCAGCTTTAATCCCAAGTTCAAATGCTACATCGTACACAGACCAATGAACAGACCACAGTTTTCTGAGCTGGGAACCAGAATTTGAAAGTCGGCAGAAATTGGCTGTGGGTCTCATAACCCCGGTGTGACACAATATTCTCATCCTAGGAGCCAAGTTGTAAGCTTTTCTAAGACCCATAAAGCACATGTCTACTCCCTATGAGGAGCTTCGGTTCTTTCTGAGAGTCTGCTGAAGTTCCGATCTGAACGAATGCCATCTTCACAGAAACCCCAGTACTCTAGAATGATGCCATCTGCCACAGGCTGAGCTTCCTTTTCAGCCAAATACATTATTTATAACCTTTCTAATTGTGAAAAGGTAAGGGTGGAATTTTTCTAAAGCCTGACTTAGATATAGTTAGAACATTCTCAACCTTTACTCTGAAATACTGCAGGTCGCTGCATTTGAAAAACAAAAAATAAACAAAAAACAAACAAAAAACCCACAAGGAATTGATGGAGGTTACATAATTTTGCAAAATATCACATTCTTCAAATATGCTGCTAGAATATGACATACACAAGAGGTATACATTAAGAACACATTTAGGAACTGAAGAAAGGTAGCTTTATTTTTCTACTTGGTCATCTTAGGGGCCAATAAAGAGGCTTGGGGAGAGGTGAGGCCTTCTGGGGGTAAAAAAAAAAAAAAAAAGGATTCATCAACCAGCAGAGAGGCAGTGATCTGATTACCCTTAAAATTACTTTGTTGTGCCTTTA